TGGTTTTAGATATCTAGTATGCTTGTCTTGTCTTAGTATATGATTTTCTAGTATATATTCTTTTTTTTCAATTTGGTCAAATTTAAAAAGTCTTTTTCTTTTTCTTTCTGTAAGATCAAAGAACCTCGAGAGAAAACCATCATAGATGCTGAGGATCAACATCAGGCATTCGCTACGAGTGACCCTACACTGGAAGCAATCCGGTTCGGGGAATGGGAAATTGAACCGTGGTGTGCGTCTTCTTATGAAATGGAATATATCGCAAATTCACTAGTATATGTTTGTGAATTTTGTTTAAAGTATATGAGAAGTGAGTTTATTGCCGATCGACACAAGGTCTGTTTTTACGAGTATTTTGTATCTAGCCTTTAGCACACAAATTAAAATAAGTCAAACGATGTAGATGAAATGCCCGGTACGTCACCCACCTGGCGATGAAATATATCGAGATGGTCCTATTTCGATTTTTGAAGTTGATGGACGAAAAAATAAGGTTGAGCTATTAATTTCTTATTTATAGTCAAAATAGAATACTAGATCTTGGATCTTTTTTTTTTTAATTATTCAATATTTTTCTAGATATATTGCCAGAACCTTTGCCTTTTTGCAAAAATGTTCATCGCTCATAAGACACTATTTTTTGACGTAGAGCCTTTTCTTTTCTATGTGATGACAGAGGCAAACGATACGGGATGCCATTTTGTTGGCTATTTTTCTAAAGTTTGTTGTTTTAATTTTTACATTATACATATCATCGATATTAATCGATATTAATATAATATAAATCGAATTTACCTAATATTGGTTATATATTCATTTAAAGGTTCAATCATTGTAAATCCTTGGAACATTGAAGAACTTGCTAATAGTATTCATGAGGCTGTCACAATGCCGGATCATCTGCGGAAATCAAATCATCAAAAATTGTATAGTTACGTTACTAAATATACTGCTGCTTACTGGGGAACTAGTTTCGTTAGTGAACTATTGGTAATTAGATGGTTTGATCAAATTATAAGATATAATTATGTATTGTGTTTTGTTTGTTTCCTCTTTTAACGTATTAACTCATTCAAAGGTATTTAAACTTATTATAGCGCGTTAGTAAGGAATTTAATTCCTATATGATCATTCCACGTTTGAAAATCAATCAAGTTGTTGAAGCTGCAAAGGCCTCCAAAAAAAAGAGAATCATCCTATTAGATTATGATGGCACCTTGACTTCTACTCATAAATTGGCAGAATATGCAAACCCTTCAAGTCACATTGTCTCTATACTCAAAACTCTTCAATCAAAACCTAACACGTATGTCTACATATTGTCTGGTCGCGGTCGTACGCATCTTGATCAATGGTTTGAATCGACAGGGATTGGCTTGTCTTCTGAGCATGGATGCTTCTACAAACATCCGAAAAGTTTACAAGGAAAGGTAGATCCGATTTCAAACAGTTTATCTGAAGGAAGGTTTATTAAAGAAGAAAGTGATGAATGGTATAGACTTGTAGAGCAAATAGATCC